ACCCTAAAAACCCTTAAAACCCTAAAAACCCTAAAAACCCTAAAAGCCCTAAAAGCCCTAAAACCCTAAAACCCTACACACTAAAACCCTGAAAACCCTAAACCCTAAAACCCTAAACTCCTAAATCCCGAATACCCTAAAAACCCTAAAGCCTAATGCCCTAAAACCCTAAACAAAAACCAAAAACAGCAAAACCCTAGACCCTGAAAACCCTGAACCCTGAAACGCCAAAAGACCCAAAACCCTAAAACCTAAAGAACCTAAAACCCCTTAAAACCCAACAAAACTAAAGCCTGAATCCCAAAAAAAATCCTGAAAACACTAAAACCCCAGAAAAACCTTAAAAACCTAAAGCCCTATAACCCTAGAAAGGAGTGGGGCCTCCTGCCGCGCCCGCCCGCTCGGCAGAGGCAGCGCCTCCCGGAGAGTCAGGGGTCGGGTTCTTGGGTTTATAACTCTTAGGTTTAGAACTTTAGGGTTTAGGGTTTAGGGTTTAAGGTTTAGGGTTTAGGGTTTAGGGTTTAGGGTTTAGGGTTTAGGGTTTAGGGTTTAGGGTTTAGGGTTTAGGGTTCAGGGTTCAGGGTTTAGGGCCTAGGGTGGGAGGCTTCCAGGGTTTTGGGGATTCTGGGATTACTTCGTTTGGGATTCGGGGCAGGGGGCTCCGTGAGAGTTACAGGGAGGGGACATGCGAGCCGATGACATGCACTCGCCTTAGGGATTTGGCGGTTTCGAAGTTAGTGGTACCTTATGGGGGTCCTTATTCTAAGGGAATCCTACGATTTAGTTTAGGGGTCCCCTAAACCCTAAACCCTAAACCCTAAACCCTAAACCCTAAACCCTAAACCCTAAACCCTGAACTATTTTCGTAAACCCGAACTAAGGGCTTGCAGAGAAAGATGTCTTTATGATCCTTCTGGAGCAAGTTGCTTTTAGGCTTTTGGGGTTGAAGGATTGGGGTCTAAGGGCTTAGGGTTTACCTGCACCCCTAGACCCTAAACCCTAAAACCCCAGACCTGAAGACTTAGGGTTTAGGGTTCTGGCGGTCTCTCGCTGGAGTTGGGTTTAGGGGTTTAGGGTGTTAAGTGTTTAGGGTTTTATGGTTTGGGCTTGAAGGTTCTGAGGTCAACAAATTTGGGTTGAGGGTTTGAGAGTTGAGGGTTTGAGGGCTGAGGGTTTTCAGGGGGTCCCGGGTCGAAGGCTTCAACCTCCCCTCCCACACTTAAGGTCGTACCCTCGGCTGGGTTTGGGGGACCCTTTTTGAAGATCCTTGCGGTTGTAGAAGGGCCATCATAAGGAACCCTTTGGGGGCACAACCCCAGGGCACGACTGTAGACTGTTGTCCTCCTCCTCACGTCTTGAAAGGAGAGAACCAAAGGGCCCAACCCCTAAACCCTAAACCCTAAACCCTAAACCCTAAACCTTAAACCCTAAACCCCCCCCCCCCTGAACCTTAAACCTTCTTAGACTCCTAGGACCAGGCCTCCCTTGGGGCCGACGGGCTCCGTGTAGAGCGGCCTCAAAAGCCGGCCGGCGCGCAGTTGAGGTTTCCATTTATTCTTTATTATTTTCTTATTTTTCTTCTTATTCTTCTTGTTCTTATTATTCATATTATTCTTATTATTCTTATTATTCTTATTATTCTTATTATTCTTATTATTCTTATTATTCTTATTATTCTTATTATTCTTATTATTCTTATTATTCTGATTATTCTGATTATTCTGATTATTCTTATTATTCTGATTATTCTGATTATTCTTATTATTCTTATTATTCTTATTAATATTCCTATTATTCTTCTTCTTATAATTATTCTTCTTCTTAGTACTAGTGTTATGATTATCATTCCTCTTCGGGTTTGGGAGGGTGACTTTCGGGAGGGCAGAGGTCGTTTGCGATTTGGAGGTTTAGAGGGGTTTAAGAAGTCTTGTCTGTATGTGTATGTATGTTTGTATGTGTACATGTGTATATATATATATATATATACATTGTGTATGTATACATTTTTAGCTGCCTTGTTAAGAAACCCAACAAGCCCAAAAAGGCTAAAGATCTAAAGTTACAGTAAAGCACCACAAAGGTGTGAGCTACAAAGGTGTGAGCTGCAGAGCCCAAATACCTGAATAGAATCCAAACACTTCCTGTCGCTCTGGGATCAGGGGCTTAAGGATCTGCTTTAGGGTTTGGGGTTTAGGGTTTAGGGTTTAGGGCTTAGGGTTTAGGGTTTAGGGTTTAGGGTTTAGGGGGAACCCACGAAGACGTCCTCGAGACTGACCCAAGGCCCAGGACCAACACTGCTTCGGGCGCCGGCATGATGTAAGGTGCTCCGGTGGCTTTGTCCCGGTACCTTCGCAGGTCTGGGATACAGTGCTGGGATCTTGTACGCACGCCCCCTGCCCCAGCTACGGCACAACAAAGGCCCATTAAAGGGCAACCCGGGTTTGAATTGGGTTTGGGGTTGAGGGTTGCGGGTTGAGGGTTTAGGGTTTAGGGTTTAGGGTCTAGCGTTCCTCTAAACCTTAAAGGCCCTAAACCCAAGATTCAGACATTTCGGGGTTGAAGTCTTCTTGGATCTTAGCGCGGTCAACTTTTTAAAGCCCATAAGCCTTTCGAGATGCTCAGACATCTTGCCTCTGGACCTAAACCCTCCCTGAGGTTTTAGGGCTGAAGGCTTGCCTATAGGAGGGCTAACCCTAAACCCTAAACCCTCAAACCCTAAATCCATAAACCCCAAAACCCTAAACCCCAAACCCCAAAACCCTAAACCCCAAGACTTTGCGCGGTTTAGCTCCAGGGCATGCCAGGGAGAGGGCGCATTGGGACACCGCACGTCACCTGGCTGCCACCCTCGGCCCCGGAAGAGATGCCGCAGGTCATGTGCCTGACTCCGAATTCAGAATTCGGCAGGATTTAGGGTTTAGGGTTTAGGGTTTTGGGCTTAGGGTTTTGGGTTTTGGGTTTAGGGTTTAGGGTTTAGGGTGTAGGGTTGTTTCGGGGCGGAGGGCTCCTTGAGCCCTGCAAGTTTGAGGCCACGGGATCGATACCGCGCCAGCTTGAGGCTGGTTTTGCGGGTTTTGGTTCAGGGTTTAGGGTTTAAGGGTTTAGGGTTCAGGGTTCAGGGTTATAGGTTCAGGGTTTATAGGTTCAGGGTTTATGGTTTAGGCTTTTGGGTTGGGGGGGGGGGGGTCGGGGTGATCACATTCTCTTGCGATGTCTGTACGACTTCAATGCTCACGCCACAATTGTGGCCAGTCCTACAGGACAATAGCATTGCTACTGCTGGGGCGGGGATTCTAGAGTTGGCAGAGTTGCTAGAGCTTTCATCGGACAGCCTCAACCCTAAACCTAGCGTTCCATTTGTTTGAGGTTGCCAGTCTGGCCAAGCTGCGTGATTTTATGCTCCAGGCCTTTCTGCTCACTCTTTGGAACTCCCAGGGCTTCCGAACACAGGGGCAGTCTACAGGGAGACTTAGGAAGCCGCGTCAGATGCTCGGACTTCTCCTCCATGTCCTCCTCCTCCGCCGCCTCCTCTTCCTTCATGTTTAAGTCCTGCGGATGTGCAGGTCATGACAGAGGAGGTTGGTCTCAGCCAGCATGCCACAACCAGCCCTCAACATCTCCAGGGTCCATGTGTCAAAATTTGTCCTGCTACTGTAAGACCCAAGGAATTCCGACTAGCAAATCTGGCCTGGTCGTAGCCATGGCCAAAGCCTTGTTGGCCGTAGCCTTGCTGGCCATAGCCTTGCTGGCCATAGAGGTTCTGGCCATATGGGTCGTTGGCACCTGCAAACCCTAAACCCTAAACCCTAAACCCTAAACCCTAAACCCTAAACCCACATCATACCTACGGCGGCAAAATCTCCATTCCCAACGCCGGGCAGCCGGAACTTCAGGATTCGGGACCAAGGGCTCGCTGTGCCCCTAGCTGCGTTGTGACCACCAGGTACATTCGAACGGACGACATGCAAAGAGAATGAATGAATGAATGAATGAATGAATGAATGAATGAATGAATGAATGAATGAACGAACGAATGAATGAATGAATGAATGAATGAAGCACGAGGAAAGGGAAAAGAAAGAAGGAAAGAAGGAAAGAAAGAGAGAGAGAGAGAGAGAAAGAAAGAGAGAAAAGAGAGAGAGAGAGCGAGAGAAATTCGCTGTTGATGAAGTCTGTCAAAAAAACCCCAGAAACAAAAGAAAAGGAACTGAACAATGAGGTTGCTGCTTAAAGGGTTGCGCGGTTGTGGACGGTAAAGAAGATGTATTTGACCAGGTCGGTTGTGCAGCACTCGGTAGTCCTTCTGAACCCCAATCGTAAGGCTGCGCACGGGACAACCCTGAACATCTCAGCCCTACACCCTACACCCGCAGGCTTGAACCACACAGCCCTAAACCCTGCACGCTCTAGAGCCCCAAACCCCCCCCCCCCCCCCCAATCCTCAATCCCTAAACCTGTCCTGAAGCCTTAAGCCCATAAACCCTCAACCCCCACATGGAGGGGTTCCGAAAAGTAGGGGGTACCCTTTTTTCGGCGGTTGGTGGGTGGGGGGGGGGGGGATTCAAGAAAATCAGGATTCTACTATTTTGCGGTGCATGAGGTTCCCCACTTTTCAGCAACCCCCGTGTCTCCACCTTGGCCGTGGCCGAGAAAGGAAGACAGGCGCAAGCGGCTGCGACATGCACCGTGGATTCCTTGGCTGGTTTAGGGTTGGGCCCTAAACCCTAAACCCTAAACCGGGTTGGAGTCTTAGGCCAGGGGTTTCGGGGCTTAAGGGGTGAGGGGCTTGAAGGGCTTGAGCGGCTTAACTTGCGCAAGGGGCTTGACGGGCTTGAGGGACTGAAGTTTGGGCGGCTGAAAGTTTGCAAGAAGGGCCGAGGGTTTAGGACTTGAAATCTCCGATCCTTGAACCCTGAACCCTAAGCTCTGAACATGGCACCGTGGCCCGGCATGCGCAGCCATGAACCGAGCATGCATTATTCAGCTTACTGGCTCTTCGCAGGGAAGTGGGGAGTTTGGGTACTCTTTCATCCCTTGAAGGGGCATCTTGGGAAAATGCATACCTACTTCCCGAATTTCTTGCTGAACGCTAGTAAGTTTCAGCTGAGCTTCCTGTGCAGCTTGCCTGCAAGGCATCCGTCCAGGGCAGGGTGGCATTCAGCCTCAGGATGTGGGTCTACGAATCTTCAAAGCTTAGGGTCTGGGGTTTTGAGTTGGATGGCTTAGGTTTGAGGGCCTTAGGACGTATAATTAAGGTTTCGGGCAGCACAGCCACTTACATAGGCTTACACCTATTTTGAACCACCCCGGCCCTTGAGCCCCCCTCCCAGTGGCGAAACGGCTCAGACCCTGGCGCAGTCCAGCGCATTACGCCATGGAGTTTGCGCTGGGTGGCAGCTGAGGGCAGTTAGGGATGGTGTTGAGGTCAACACAAGAAGGTTCGGGGTTTGGAGTCCAATTTGTTTACTTACTTACCCCTAAACCTTGAACCGACTTCCGATATTTTCTGAAGATAGTCTAGACACATGACCCCCTAAACCTAAACCCTAAACCCTAAACCCTAAACCCTAAACCCTAAACCCTAAACCCTAAACCCTAAACTCTCTAACCGCATCCGCCGACTCCACGGGCTCGGTGCACCCGCACTCCTCAAGAGCCGGGCGCTAGGTTTTTTTGGCTTAGGGGTTTAGGGTTCAGGGTGTTGAGTTTAGGGTGGTGGGTTCAGGGTGTAGAGTTTAGGGTGTTGGGTTCAGGGTGTAGAGTTTAGGGTTTTGAGTTCAGGTCCTAAATCCTCATCCTCCATGCGATCACGCCATTGGTAGCGGACCAAAACGGCAACGAGACAGAATGAGACTATGGAGGTTTTAGGAGGGTTGTGGTCAGAACTGTCCAGCCGCAGCAGCAGCAGCAGGAGCAGCAGCAGCAGCAGCAGCAACACAGATGGCATGACTGGATGGGTAGCATCATTTCATGCTAACAACCTAGGACCTAGGCCAAGCTCGTGCTCTTGCACCTGCAACGCTGGCCATGTGCAGCACTTCATGTGCAAAATTGCTGACCTGAATAAACGAGACTCGAATGTTGACCATGCCCGAAAGATTGTTCATGCAACTTGCGCACTGGCCCTGCGTGTCTACAAAATCAAATCTTGCTGAGCACCCTCGCAGAACTCGTGAACCAACAGCATGTCATGCATGGCAACAACCGCAGCACATACGACCTATAGCAATAGCAACAGCAGCAGCAGCAGCAGCAGCAGCAGCAGCAGCAGCAGCAGCAGCAGCAGCAGCAGCAGCAGCAGCAGCAGCGCGTTAGGCTTACGATTTTGGAGAACATCACTCTCATGCTGCGGTTCGCTACCTCTTTATTTCGGGTAGGCAGACATGCAGGAGGCCAAAACCTCCGAACGCAGACTCCCTGCTCTTCTCTCGTGGCGGCGTCGCGTGCAATGAGGCCGAGAGTTTCAAGTACGTAGCACCTGGATTAGTTTGAACGTGGCCTTGCCTGTTAATTGCGAGCTTCAGAGCATTTTGCCCATGTCTGCACAAATCATTTTTCCTTCAATGACATGTTTGCAGCAGGTTGTCGCAAATCACTTTGACCGCTCTGCTTAGCCCGTCCTAAGAAGCCGGGGTGCTTGCCCTATAGAAGATGATAGAGGAGAGATAGGCTAGGAAGGCTCGACGCAAGAAACAAGTCGATGAACTTCTCCGGCCTATATTTGCAGCTTCTCCGAATGTCACCCTCTCATACTGTCCTGTAGTGTACAGTTGCTGGTGTGGGATGAAGCGGCCCTCAGAAGAGGTGAAGATGCGAGCGTACCTACTTAGCTGCCAATTCACGTGGGATGCTCTCGCCGAGACAAGCGCCACCTCCCGTCTTTTGCAGGCATCGGCAGAGCACATCCTGCAACTTGCTTCTGGACAACTGTCGGTTTTGCGCCTAAGCACCATGAAGCAACCCGGGAATAATGAATTAGCCTCCCTGCTGTAGGTTGTTGAAGCACCCTGCTGACTACCAAAGCTGCCAGCTGCTAATGAGTTCCTCTTGCCACAGGATGAGCCCCAACATCCTGACGATTGCTCTTCATGCTGCGGACATCCCGGATTAGGCCGGCTAGGCCTCACCCACTTCCTGTCAGACGCCAGCAGGCACAAAGCGAACAGCGACATGGTTTGGGCACTTGCAGGGCCGGTCTGCTACTTTACATTGTGGGGGATTCGTTGCCCATCATTCTTTGCAGCTCTGTGTGTGTGTGTACTGCTGTTCGGTGTGTCTGCTGCACATCCTCCGCACTCAAGATACACTTAGCTTGCCCTGTTGACACCTGATGGTTTCGGATTCAAGGCTTTGAGGTCCAGGCTTCAGACTCCAATCATCCAGCCAGCCCATGCTGGGAGCAAAACGGCTGCGCAACACAATAAGACCATGGCGGGGGGGGGGGGGGGATAGAGGGTGTAGGGTTTAGGGTTTAGGGTTTAGGGTTTACGGGTTACGGGTTACGGGTTTAGGGTTTAGGGTTTAGGGTTTGGGGTTTAGGGTTTAGGGTTTAGGGTTTAGGGTTTAGGGTTTAGGGTTTAGGGTTTAGGGTTTAGGGCTACAGTTGCAAGACAGTAGCTGACTGGCACGTACTCGCACCGAGGGCTCCTAAAGAAAAAAGAATTCTCTGACCTTGGGCCGATGATGAACCCACTCTAACTCTATAGGGTCTAGAAGGTCTAGAAGGGGTATAGAAGGGGTATAGAAGGGGGTATAGAAGGGGTATAGAGTGGGTGTATAAGGGGTATATGAGGGGTACGTAGCTACTAAGAACTACCCCTTTGCTTGCGGAAATTGTAACCCCCTGGCTCTTAGTAGGGGATGAGGGAATGACAAGGTACCCTATATGATCCCTTAAAGGGTATATATAGGGCCCCTAATTCCCTCATTCCCTACTAAAAAAAAACCAGGGGGTGTTGATGGCCTTTGGGATCACTTCAGGCTAGGTCCCCTTCGGCTTCAGGATCTGTTGGTAATGGTTGGTTTCGCTTAGTTTCTACATCCGGGTCATTCAGGGAGGGCTGCTCATGCCTTGTTGGCCGCTTCATGCTGCCATCACGCTCGGCGAGGTACCGTAGGAGCTTGGCTCCGCTGCAGTTGGGAGCTACGCGTCTTAACAACGATCGCGTCCAGCTGCAGCGACAGCTGCTCAGGCGACGAATGTAAGGGCCGGTTTAGTCTTCACAGGGTGCTTCGGGTCGTTTGCAGTAAAGCTGCAACAGAGCCATTTAGGGGACTGCAGGGGCAACAATGTTGGCAAGATATTCTGCTGGGCTCAGCACTCCACATCTGAGGGTGGACCCGGAAGATCACAGGAGAGCCTCTCATCGGCCGAAAAGCAGCCGGGGACCTCTGCGCAAAGGACCTTTGCTGGACTGCAAAAGCGCCTCAAAGAAGAAGCGACCATGGCCCAAACACAAAACCTAGACCCTAAGCCCCAAACCCGAAACCCGAAACCCGAAACCCTAAACCCTAAACCCTAAACCCTAAACCCTAAACCCCATGCCGCCAGGAAGGTTGCGCAGAGGTCACCCATGCCAGCAGCTTAGGCTGGCGAGCTGCAACCCATACCGGCACAGCCCTAAACCCTAAACCCTAAACCCTAAAACCTAAACCCTAAACCCTAAACTCGTCATTTTGTGGGGGGGAGGCTTGCCCCATGACAGATGCGCTTCCATCGTGGCTTGGGGGCCTACCAGCTGGGTCGGATCTAATTTCCGCCGGACGAAACCTGACGAATGGGCCGATTCTGGCCAGGATGAGACCGGCACCGGGGTTGAGGGCTTAGAGCTTGGGGTTTAGGGTTTAGGGTTTGGGGTTTTGGGTTTGGGGTTTGGGGTTTGGGGTTTGGGGTTTGGGGTTTGGGGTTTGGGGTTTGGGGTTTGGGGTTTGGGGTTTGGGGTTTGGGGTTTGGGGTTTGGGGTTTGGGGTTTGGGGTTTGGGGTTTGGGGTTTGGGGTTTAGGGCTCCCCTTCGGGGTTCCTAAAACTGCCCCTATTGTAGAGGGTACCTTTTGGGGGGACTTTTTGGATCCTCTCCTGTAGGGTAGCTTGGCATTGACACAGTATAAGGGCGGCTTTTTGCAAACCATCAAAACCCCTGTTACCGGGGAAATTAAGAACAATACGAACCATAAACCCTAAGCCCTAAACCCTAAACCCCAAACCCTAAACCCTAAACCCTAAACCCTAAACCTCTCAGCTGCGTTCCCCAGTTGAGGGTTTTCGTTGAAGGGGCTAGGGGCCCCAAGCAACCCACGCTGAACCGCGATTTGGGGCACGGGGGTTTAGGGTTTGGGGCTTAGGACCCTAAACCCTAAACCCGAAACCCTAAACCCTAGACCCTAAACCCTAAACCCTAAACCCTAAACCCTAAGCTTCGGGTTTCGGGGCTTAAGGGTTTCGGGTTTAGGAGGCTAGGCATGCTGGTCACCAGTCAGCAGCCTGGCTGTCTAAAAGCGGGGAGAAGGTCTGAGTCACAACACAACGTCCTTAGGGACGTGGTGGACGGACCGCCAACTCTTCCTGAAGAGCAGCCCTAAAGCCTGAAACCCTAAACCCTAAACAGTGAGGTACGTCACCCTCAACCCTAAGCCCTAAACACGATATCCTAACTTGGAAAACAAGAGGCAGGTATTAAGGAAACAAGGCCGACTTTCCTAGAGGCTTCATGTAGGCCACTTGCAATTTAACGCGGCACTTGTGACTATACGAATGAAGCTAAAAGTACACTGACCTGGACACTGAACCACCCTGAACCCTAGTGGCTGACCGAGTACCCTGGGCCGCAAAAAGGTGAACCTTTCAATTCCGGTAGGATTACATATACCCCAAAAAGGTTAAAGGGTACCTACTCAGCTACCCTAAACCCTAAACCCTAAACCCTACACCCTAAACCCTAAACCCTAAACCCTAAACCCTAAACCCTAAACCCTGAAGCTTGTGGGAAGCAAGAGCCGCTCCAGAAGAGCTCCGAAATTCAGCGACGTCCTTCGAGTTCATGAAAGGCGCACATGCGAGGCCGAATTCCAACGGGGCCGAAGACTCCAAAGGGTTTAGGGTTTAGGGTTTAGGGTTTAGGGTTTAGGGTTTAGGGTTCAGGGTTCAGGGTTTTGGGGTTATAACAACCTCTGTCAATTTGGTTAGGGCTTACGGTTTAGGGTTCAGGGTTCAGGGTTCAGGGTTGAGGGTTTTGGGTTTAGGGTTCAGGGTTTAGGGGGGTTGGGGTTTAGGGTTTGGGGCTTATGGGGGTTTCCCAAATTAGGGGGTACCTTCTTGGGGGTCCTTTATAAGGGAATCCGACTAACTATTTGGGGTCGACATTATGGGCCCCGAATTTTCGTCAACCCCCAATGTGGCCGTGCTTGATTGAGATTTGGGGAGAGATCACAGAAAGTCCTCACATGCGCGTGACAGCTCATAGCTATGTCGGAGAAAGGATGGTGGTGCTTTGCACCCGGTGAAACCTATCGAGGGAGCTGACCACACCTCGGGCCTCATGAGGTCCAGCGCTTCAGCATGACAGCATGAACGCCGTTGATTTAACTCTGAATGGTCCCTTGCCGTGGTCAGAGCTACACGGAGCTACACAGAGCCGAGACGGAATCACGAAGAGGAGATGACGGCAGCTGCTTGAACAGCATGTGAGACCGTAACAGTCGACCTTGGACACAGATGTGAGTTGTTCTTAGCCTCAAATCCCTCACCCCCGACCCTCAACCCCAAAACCTAGGCCCCTAAACCCTAAACCCTAGACCCTAGACCCTAAACCCTCCTGGTTGCCAAGAGGCCCACGTCGCCCCCTTGCACCCGAAGGCGTCGAGGCCTGATCGAAGCTGCCCATCGACTGGTGGTGGTTCACAGCGTACAGCGCGGTGCCGCGGAGGTTGAGACTCTTCCTGCCAAGGGTGGAAACCCACATGGGCAAAGGCACCCTCTAGAGCAAATAGGCATGTCAAAACAGGCATGGGCAAAACAGGCTTCAGAGGAGACAACCGTGCCTTCGGTTGACAGAGATCGATTGGAAAAAGTGCTCTTTGCCCACTCGGATGAGCTCAGAACTCTCGGCGGCGAGAGTTGTACACCTGCAAGCAGAGAAGCATAAGACTCGTACACTTTACTAGGCCTGTACCCCTAAACAGGTGACGTTTGATGGGGAATCCGCCGAGACCTCGGGCCGGAGGTGTATAGGTTGTCAGAACAGGCACCCCCCTCCAAAGTTCCCCCCCCAACCCCTCCCCCTCCCCTGACCCCCTACCCCCGCCCCCACCCCCCACCCCCCCCTACCCCCACCCCCCCCCCCCCCCCCCTACCCCCCCCCCCGACCCCCCCCCCCCCCTACCCCCCCCCCCCCCCCCCCCCCCCCCCCCTACCCCCCCCCCCCCATTTACCCCCCTCCCCCCCTCTCCAGAGCCACCACAGAATATTGGTGAGCGGGTTTTAGACTCACGGCCGGGAATGCATTACACGAGCAGAAGAATCTAAGCTTGAACCTAAACCCTAAACCTTAAACCTTAAACCTTATAAGCCCGAAGCACACCCAAAGCGTGAACCTTGAGCCCTAAGCCTTCAATCCTAAACTAACCCTCAACCCTAAACCCCAAACCATAAACCATAAACCATAAACCCGGAACCCTTTTTGCTTCAGGGCTCCTGTGGTAGCCCTAAACCCGGAACCCTAAACCCTAAACCCAACCCTTATTGCTTGGGGTCCAGCGCCTTGGGCGCTGCGGAATCACCATGCTCACGCGGATGCGCTGGGCCGGGCCGAGGCGGGTCGCGTAGCGTTAAAATTAGATCCCTTGAAGGTTCCTCTGGGGGGATAGAAAGTACTTAAGCCCCTCATCCTCCTTTTCGTCCCCAAACCCTACCCCTAAACCCCTAAACCCCTAAACCTCTAGACCCCTAAACCCTAACCCAAAACACTAAACTCTAAACCGTCTGGCCCCGAAATTGTCCAAGCGGCTCCTAACGTTTGGTGTCTCAGAAGTCTGTTGGGTTTGGGGGCTTCAGGGTTTTAGGGTTTGGGGTTAGGGCTTCAGGGTTTTCTTACCCTAAACCAAAAAAACCTTGCACCCTAAACCCAAAACCCAAAACCCTAAACCCTAAACCCTACAGCGCTGCGCGCCTGGACAGCACCGGGCCATCTTCTTCGAGGCAATGCTCATCCACGATCAGGGGTGAGACAATGCTGGCATTCGTGTTCAGGCTCTCGGTCCTCAGAACTGGCTTTAGGGTTTAGGGTTTAGGGTTTAGGGTTTAGGGTTTAGGGTTTAGGGTTTAGGGTTTAGGGTTTAGGGTTTAGGGTTTAGGGTTTAGGGTTTAGGGTTTAGGGTTTAGGGTTTAGGGTTTAGGTTTAAGGGTTTAGGGTTTAGGGTTTAGGGTTTAGGGTTTAGGGTTTAGGGTTTAGGGTTTAGGGTTTAGGGTTTAGGGTTTAGGGTTTAGGGTTTAGGGTTTAGGGTTTAGGGTTTAGGGTTTAGGGTTTAGGGTTGGGGTTTAGGGTTTAGGGCATTGGGCTTAGGGTTCAGGGTTCAAGGTTCAGGGTTATGTGCAAAGGCCTCCGAAACCCTAAACCTCCGAAGCCCTAAGCCCTAAACCCGAAACCCTCTAACCCTTGGGCAAAGGCACTGCCCCACCAAGCGCTTGGTAACCCTCAAGCGGCCAGAGACCAACACCCAAGCTGCATCCGCCACGGTGCCTGTCGGGGCTTCGAAGTTTTACGCAGGGGTGGCTTGGGGGTTTGGGATTTGGAGTTCAGGGTTTAGGGTGGGTTTAGGGTTTAGGGTTTAGGGTGTTTAGTGGGTTTAGGGGTTTAGGGTGTTTAGTGGGCTTAAAGGGGGTGTAGGGTGTTTAGGGGGCTTGGGGTGTTTAGGGTGTTTAGGGTGTTTAGGGTTTCACACTATCACGTACGATGGTGCACGCTGCTCAAGGCTTGAAAACCCTTGAAAGCTGTAGGATATTTTTCGACACTACTGGTAATCCACTGTATGAAATGTTGAAAGCCAATTCAAATCGTCGTATTTGTTCGGGTCGTTTTGGTTTTGCTCGTTGTATTGAATCGAATCACAGAAGCAAGCGGCTTGGGGACTTTCAAATGGCTCACACTAGTACCACCTCTATTGTTAGTGAGTAATTAATTCCTGTGCTCCTCCTCTGATCAGACAGAATGATGAGGATGATCCCCAGAAAACAGGCGTTTGGGGTTTAGGGCTCAGGTATTTAGAACAGCCCCCCGCTTCGAACCGCACCGGCCGCGCCTGCGTTGCTAACGGCATCTCCTTGCATAAGGTCGAAGGTCTCTGCCGCGTCGCATATCTTCTCGATGCCTTGGATGCCCTAAACCTTGAACCCTAAACCCTAAACCCTTGTGGTACGGAGTTGGTAGGTTCGGAAGCCCCTCCCCCACACCGATTTAGCCCCGAGCCCTAAACACTAAACCGTAAACCAACTACCTAAGCTTCGGGTGGACTTCCACCACCCTAAACCCCAACCCCAACAACCCCCCCCACCCAAACCTGAGACTCTCACCCTAATCCCCTAACCCTCAAGCCCTAACAAGGCTACGGGGCTGTGGGTCTAGCCGTTCCGTCTTGTTGTATCTGAGGCTTCGGGCTTCAGGGCTTAGCCCCGAGGTTGGATTCATGTTCCGCACATGACTTTGGGGCTCATCGAATCTGCCCCAAAGATCATCCCATAAAGGGTTTAGGGTTTAGGGTTTAGGGTTTAGGGTTTAGGGTTTAGGGTTTAGGGTTTAGGGTTTAGGGTTTAGGGTTTAGGGTTTAGGGTTTAGGGTTTAGGGTTTAGGGTTTAGAAACATCCCCGTGTCAGTGCTGCTTGGTTTCTTCTTCGGGGAGGGGGGGGGAGGGGGGGAGGGCGGGGGGGAGGGGTTCAGGGTTCACAGCCCCCAACTTCAGCCTCCCGGGCGAGCTGCTGTCTCTCTCCAGCTCCCGCATCAGAGGTATCCTCTCTAAGTACATGCGCACCTGCGGAAGTGTTCCGGCTGATGGCCTAGATTGAGAGGTTCAGGGACTCGGGGCTTAAGAGGTTAAGGGATTTCAGGGTCTCAGGGTTTAAGGATTTCAGGGTTTAAGGGTTTCAGGGTTTAAGGGTTTCAGGGTTTCAGGGTTGCTTTTCACGTTTTAAGGGATTCAGGGTTTAAGGGATTCAAGGGCTCTTAAGGGGTTTCCGGGTTTCAGGGCTCTTAAGGGTTTCCGGGTTTCGGAGTTTCAGGGTTTCAGGCCTTCAGGGTTTCGGAGCTTGGGGCATCTGGGTTCAGCATGTCGGGGCTGAAGACCTCTAGCCCTAAACCCTAAACCCTAAACCCTAAACCCTGAACCCTAAACCCTAAACCCTAAACCCTAAACCCTAAACTCTCTCTATCATATAATAATTTAAACCTTAATGGGGAACGTGGCCATTGGCAAAAAAACCGTGGCCATTGGCAAAAAACCCGTGGCCATTGGCAAAAAAGCCGTGGCCATTGGCAAAAAAGCCGTGGCCATTGGCAAATTCGCCAATGGCCACGGGAAAGTTGCCAATGGCCACGGCTTTTTTGCCAATGGCCACCAATGTCATTAAGGTTGGTCGCCAAAATGGGTTTTTCAAACCCAATTCGCACAAAATGCCCCCCAACCTTAATGGGGAACGTGGCCATTGGCCAAAAAGCCGTGGCCATTGGCAACTTTTCGGGCTTTTTGCCAATGGCCACGGCTTTTTTGCCAATGGCCACGTTCCCCATTAAGGTTGGGGCCCAACCTTAATGGAGAACGTGGCCATTGGCAAAAAAGCCGTGGCCATTGGCAAGTGGCATTTGCCAATGGCCACGGCTTTTTTGCCAATGGCCATGGCTTTTTTGCCAATGGCCACGGCTTTTCTGCCAATGGCCACGGCTTTTTTTGCCAATGGCCACGGCTTTTTTTGCCGATGGCCACGGCTATTTTGCCAATGGCCACGGCTTTTTCCCCCCTCCACCCCCCCCCCCCCACCCCCCCCCCCACCCCCCCCCCACCCCCCCCGCCCCCCCCCCCCACCCCCCCCCCCCCCCCCCCCCCCACCCCACCCCCCACCCCCCCCCCCCCACCCCCCACCCCCCCCCCACCCCCCCACCCCCCCCCCACCCCCCCCCCCCACCCCCCCCCCCCCCCCCCACCCCCCCCACCACCCCCCCCCCACCCCCCCCACCCCCCCCACCCCCCCCACCCCCCCCCCCCCCCCCCACCCCCCCTCTTCTGGCCCAGACCCCCATTCTGGGTCCTGGGCCCGATCAAGATGAAGGCTTTGCGGGGCCGGGCAACACGGCAGCCCCTTCTTAGGGTTCAGGGGTGGGGTGGGGAAAAGCAACTTCGGGACCCCCATTCTGGGGTTGGAAACCTGGATGAGGGCTTCGCAACCCCCCCCCACCCCCCCCCACCCCCCCACCCCGAGAACGAATGCAAGCAGAATGAAGACGAGCAGAGAAATACGAGCAGAGAGAGAACGACTTCAAGGGCTCCAAGAGGGCGGTTGGGAAGGCGGGTTTCCAGCCCTAAAAACTCCAAGACCATGATTCCCAACCCCCCCTTCAAAAGGCTCCAGAGAGGGGGGTTGGGAAGGCGGGTTTCCAGCCCAAAACACTCCAAGACCATGATTCCCAACCCCCCCTTCAAGGGCTCCAGAGAGGGGGTTGGGAAGGCGGGTTTCCAGCCCAAAACACTCCAAGACCATGATTCCCAACCCCCCCTTCAAAGGCTCCAGAGAGGGGGGTTGGGAAGGCGGGTTTCCAGCCCAAAACACTCCAAGACCATGATTCCCAAACCCCCCTTCAAGGGCTCCGAATACGGGTAGTTGGTTCTAGGGTGGGTTGGGGATTGGCTCGAACTGGAATGGTTCGAGGGTGGGGTGGGGGAAAACAAAACATGAGGTTAACAAAATTAGGGTTTTTTGTCAATCCGGACCAACACTTTTGGTTCTACCTTCGGTCTGGGGAAAGCAAGCGCGAAGACAAGGGACATGCGACAAAGCCGACGAGCACGAAGGGAGGGGACATACGACAAACCCTAAGGGCGCGAAGGGAAGGGACATGCGACGAATCTGTAGACCTTTCATCAAACCATACGAGCACGAAGGGAGGGGACATACGACAAACCCTCCGAGCACGAAGGGAGGCATACGACAAACCCTAAGAGCACGAAGGGAGAGGGCGTACGACAAACCTGTAGACCTCTCGTCAAACCCTACGAGCACGAAAGGAGGGGACATACGACAAACCTCGAAAATAAACCCGTGCATTTCTCAATGTTTTGGGATTCTCTGCAAGCAGACAAAGAGGGACATACGACAAAGCCGACGAGCACGAAGGGAGGGGACATACGACAAACCCTAAGAACACGAAGGGAGGGGACGTACGACAAACCTGTAGACCTCTCATCAAACCCTACGAGCACGAAGGGAGGGGACATACGACAAACCCTACGAGCACGAAGGGAGGGGACATACGACAAACCTCTGAAAATATAATCTCAGTTTCTGAATTCTTGGGATTCTTTGCAAGCAGACGAAGAGGGACACACGACAAAGCCGACGAGCACGAAGGGAGGCGACATACGACAAACTCTAACAGCACGAAGGGAGGGGACGTGCGACAAACCTGTAGACCTCTCATCAAACCCTACGAGCATGAAGGGAGGGACAAACCTTACGAGCACGAAGAGAGGGGACATACGACAAACCTCTAGGCCTCTCATCAAACCCTACGAGCAGGAGCCAACATGAGGCGAGGTCACCGGGGCACTAATTGGAAAGCAACCATGTGGAAGCCAGGCAGCTTAAAGTGTGCCAAACACAACCAACAAGACGGCCAAAAATAGGCAGGGTCACCGGGGAAAACGAACACGAGCAAAGTGAATATGAGCAGAAAGAGAACGAATACGAGTAGACTGACGTCGAGCAGAGAGAGAACGAATACGAGCAGAATGAATACGAGCAGAAAGAGAACGAGTACGAGCAGACTCAGTACGAGCAGAAAGACAGCGAAAACGAGCGGACTGAAATCGAGCAGAGAGAGAGAACGAACACGCGCAGAAAGAGCACGAACACGAGCAGAAAGAGAACGAACACGAGCAAAATGAATATGAGCAGAAAGAGAACGAATACGAGCAGAATGATTACGAGCAGAGAGAGAACGAAGACGAGCAGACTGAAATCGAGCGGAGAGGACTGAAATCGAGCAGAGAGCGTGCAGAAAAAGCACGAATACGAGCAGAAAGAGAACGAACACGAGCAAAATGAATATGAGCAGAAAGAGAACGAATACGAGCAGAATGATTACGAGCAGAGAGAGAACGAAGACGAGCAGACTGAAATCGAGCAGAGAGAGAGAGCGAATACGAACAGAATGAATACGAGAAGAAAAACAACGAAAACGAGCGGACTGAAATCGAGCAGAGAGAGAACGAATACGAGCAGAATGAATACGAGCAGAACGAGAACGAACACGAGACGAGCAGATCAGAAAAAGAACGAATACGAGCAGAATGAAAACGAGCAGAAAGAAACGCATACGAGCAGAATGGAAACCAAGCAGAATGACAAAGAACACGAGCAGAATGAATAAATGAGGTTGGAGGACAGGGCTTGCTGAGGAAAATGTGAACTTTATATTTCTTAATGTTTTGGGATTCTCTGGGTGGGTGGGTTTTTTTCTAGAGTCCAGACAGCGGCTCTACTAGAGATTGCTCGACCCAGAGCTGCTGAACCCTAAACCCTAAACCCTAAACCCCTCTAGCTCCTAAGCCCGACCTGAGGTCGCTGCGAACCCCTCAATCGCTCCCTCAGTGCTCTGCCTTCGCCAAGCTTCGGGGGCTTGGGACTTCGCATGTCACCGTTTAGGGTGTAGGGTATAGGGTTTAGGGTTTAGGGTTTAGGGTTTAGGATTTAGGGTTTAGGGTTTAGGGTTTAGGGTTTAGGTTTTAGGGTTTAGGGTTTTGGGTTTAGGGTTTTGGGTTTAGGGCTTAGGGCTTTCGGGGCTTAGGGTTGCGGATGTCGGACTGACTGTGCCCTAACCTCTAAAAAAGCTTGTGTGGGGGCCTCTGTTTCGGGGTTTAGGCTTCTGGTTTCGGGTAAGCCCTAAACCCTAAACCTCAAACCCTAAACCCCAAACCCTAAACCCTAAACCCTAAACCCTAAACCCCAAACCCTTCTGTGAAGAGGCGCCTGAGATCGGCGGATTTGGCCTTTCAGCTGGTCTGGGAGGAAGTTTATCAGGGCCGCCTCCTGGTGGCTGCGTTTTCTGGCGGAGGGCTTTGGGGGGTAGGAGGTTTAGGGCTTTTGGTTTGGGGGTTAGGGGTTCGGGTTTGGGGGGTTAGGGTTTCGGGTTTAGGGTTTAGGGCTTAGGGCTTAGGGTTTGGGTGGGTTCAGGTGGGTCTTAGGCTTTTCAGGTGGCTCTGAGGGAGGTATAGGGTTCCAAGGCTTTATGATTTTTGGGGGGCTTAGGGCTCTAAGTCGGGATGTTGCCGCTTATACTAACAGGTCTAAATAGGGGCGAATAGGACCCCCTACCATAATCCCTATTGAGGACTGTTAATATTCCCAAGACGTGGGAGGTTCAGGGTTTAGATTCAGGTTTGGAGTTTAGGGGGGTTGGGGTCGGATTGGAGAGTTTGGATTTAGGGTTTCGGGTTTCTAACCTTACCTACATGACTCATAAACATCCAAGCAAGGTTGGGGGGTGAGGGGCTTCGCGATAGAAAGGAGCTCGCAAGAGCTGAGGGCTTGGGGTGTAGGAGGATATGTTGTACACAATGAATATGGCAGGTTCTCTAAACTCTGGTCCCTTCTGTGGATCCCATTCTCATACGGACCTAGTGTACTACTTAGAGAAGCCCGGACAATCAACTCGAATGCCTGCAAGGCCCCTATATCTGCATGTCCGAACCCTGATGGTCCCGGAAGAGTGCCCTGAACACCAAACCTAAGCCCTAAACCCTCATTCCTAAACCCGAGACCCTGAGCACAGCCTCAGCCCTACACTCTGCAACTCGGAACCCACAAGCCGGGAAACCCTACGCCGAAGCCGCCCAAGCCGCCCAAGCCCCGACCCCTCCTTCGCGTGAATGCGGCGACGATCGAAGATGTACCTGGGAGCTGCCAGTTGCCCGGAGCTTGAGGGGGGACACTTCTGAACGAGCCCAACACCCAAACCTTCAATGAAGTGCCGAGCGTGAGGATGTTAGCCAAAAATGTCAAGGACACATGGGCACCATATCGGAGTTTCACAGATTTTGCTGTCCCCTGATGCCCCCAAGTAGAATCCCCCTCAAAAGGAGCCCCCAAAAGCAGCCCGTCCCCTGATGCCCCCAAGTAGAATCCCCCTCAAAAGGAGCCCCCAAAAGCAGCCCTTGATTCTGGGCAGAGCTTCTCTGTTCTCTCACAGAAGCCTACGTCGATGTGAGCCCGGCCTCAGGTACGCTTTCACCTTCAGCTGGACCGTCTCCTACCGCTGTGGGCGAGAAAGAGCAGGTCTGAGGGCTCAAGGGGCTTCGAGTGGCCCATGAGCTTGGGTAGCCAACCCCTAAACCCTAAACCCTAAACCTTAAGCCCTCAACCCTAAACCCTAAACCCTAAACCCTAAGCCCTAAGCCCTAAGCCCTAAGCCCTGAACCCTAAAAGAGCCAAGGCCAAAAGCCCAAGGAGAAGCACAAGTTGGCGTGAAATGTCCCGCTCTCCATACTACTCAACAGCCGAGGCCTCAAAATACAGGCTGTCACCCCCCCCCGCCCCTACATGCAGTGAACCCTGGGTTTTGGAAGTTTAGGGTTCAGGGCTTAGGGCTTAGGGTTTAGGGTTTAGGGTTTAGGGTTTAGGGTTTAGGGTTTAGGGTTTAGGGTTTAGGGTTTAGGGTTTAGGGTTTAGGTCCCAACCATTTAACCGCAGGCTCGAGGAATCGAACCAAGTACCGGTCCTCCACGTGCGTCTTCTGAAGGTGCATTCGCACTGCAGCGAGCTCCTCACAGTGACTCGCTGCAACCTTCGTCCCCAATTAGGGTTTAGGGTTTAGGGTTTAGGGTTTAGGGTTTGGGGTTTAGGGTTTAGGGTTTCGGGTTTCGGGTTTGGGGTTTGGGGTTTAGGGTTTGGGGCCAGTCCCTGAACCTTTGGGTGAGGCTGAGGGTTTAGAGAACAAGCTTGAGGGTTCTAGGGGTAAAGCTGAAAGATCTTGTAAAGTAAAGGGAACAGAACCTGCATAAAGTAGGCCTTGAATCCGAAATCACTACCACACCCCCTCCCTCCCCCCTGCCCCCGCCTAAACCCTAAACCCTAAATCCTAAACTTCAAACTGAAAAACCCTGGACACGATAGAGCGAGGGTCGACTCCAGGAAAGTTGTGGGTTTAAGGTTTGGGGTTGAGTCTTTGGGGTGGGGGTTAGGGCTGTTGGGCTTTTAGGGTTTAGGGTTTAGGGTTTAGAGTTTCTTGAGGGGTTTTTGGGGTTCCGTTTCTAGGGATCGGCGCTGGGGCCGCAGGGGTGCATGCTCCTCGTTGAACACCCTGCGGCGATCCCAGATCCTGAAAGCAGCAGCTGCCGGTTCTGAACCAGTTGAGGTGTTTAAGGTTTTGACCTTTAGGGTTTAGAGTTTAGGGTTTCGGGCTTAGGTGTTTAGGGTTTAGGGCTTTAGGGTTTAGGGTTTAGGGTTTAGGGGCTTAGGGTTTAGGGTTTAGGGTTTAGGGTTTAGGCTTTAGGGTTGAGGGTTTAGGGTTTAGGGTTTAGGGTTTAGGGTTTAGGGTTTAGGGTTTAGGGTTTAGGGTTTAGGGTTTAGGGTTTAGGGTTTAGGGCTTAGGGTTTAGGGCTTAGGGTTTAGGGCCTCCCACACCCGAGCACGGATCCCTCAAGATGTGTTGAGTTCCGAAACTGAGCTGGGTCAAGCCAAGGAGCTTAAAGAAGGCCTGCGTAATGAGTGAGACGCAGATGGCCTGAGCACCGATGGCGGTTTAGGGCCGAGGGTAGTTTAAGGCTTAGGTTTTAGGGTTTAGGGTTTAGGGTTTAGGGTTGAGGGTTTAGGGTTTTGGATTTTGGGTTTTGGGTTGAGGGTGGAGGTTTTAGGGTTTTGGGATCGGGTTTGACCCGTGGCCTGTTGTGGGCCCCCCTTTGAACACTCTCGTGCAAGTGCAGGGCTAAGGGTTTAGGGTTTCGGGTTTAGGGCTTAGGGTTCAGGGTTCAGGCTTTAGCGACTGCGTTTAGAGTAGGCTTCAGGGTGTAGGTTCTTCTTGCCTATAATACAGGGGAGTAAGCATGAAAACATGGGTCTCGTTCAGAGGGTCCCCTGCAAGCCGCCCCCCAGAGCCCTGTGCACACGCACGAACCACCGTGACAACCTAAATCTAATAGCGTTAGGACATGGAGAGCCCCCAAGTGCAACCAACATCCAGACCCCTCCGAAGCCCTGAGCCTCACACCATCCTTAACAGGGTCTTACGAAACTAGGGGACCCCTTAACATACACCACCAAATTCGTAGGATTCCCTTATGATGCACGGACCCCATTAAAAGGTACCCCCTAATTTCAGAAACCCCCCTAAACCCTGAACCCTAAACCCTCAACCCAAGTGGCAAAGGCCGAGAGGGCGAAGAACATGAAGACCAAGACGAAGAGTCGCTCCGGGAGGTTCACAGGCGTGACTTCGGCCGGCATGGTGCGCATCACGCCGAGTGTCCAGTAGAAGCAGAAGACCTGGGCTCAGAGGCCAAGAAGGCTTTAAGGTTTTCAAGAAGGGTTTAGGGTTTAGGGTTTTGGGTTTAGGGTTTAGGGTTTAGGGATAGGGCTTTTCGGGGTCTAAGGCATGTAGGGCTAGGGTTTTGTTCAGGGGCTGAGGGTGATTTTTTGTAGGCTTTACGGGGCTTAAGGCCTCTAGGGCTTGCGGGACCTGTGCGGATTCGGGCTCGAAGACTTACACGGTTTGTGGATTGCAGGGATTTAGGGCTTGCACAAGTTGTAGCTTCTGGGCTTTACGGCCTATAGGCTTATGTGGCATGGACCTTTAGGGTCTATTTGGCACGCCCCTTTGTTTACTATTTACAAAACTTCTTGAAAGTAGTAGTGGTAGTAGTAGTAGGAGTAGTAGGAGTCGTAGTAGTAGTAGTAGTAGTAGTAGTAGTAGTAGTAGTAGTAGTAGTAGTAGTAGTAGTAGTAGCAGTAAATGTAGATCCAGCCGGCCAACAGCCAGACTTAGGCAAGCACCCTCGCTTCGTGTTTCCTGTGACTTGGTAGGGGCCAGAGGTTTGTCGTATGTCCCCTCCCTTCGTCCCTTCGTGTTGTAAGGGTTTTGTAAGGGCTTTGGAGGTTTGTGTGCTTCCCCTTTCTCGTTCTTATAGGTTTTGGGGGAGCATCAAAATGATTAACATATATGATGTGTTTCCGTGCTCGTATTATGAGGGCTAGTGCCTGCCCTAGAGGTTTGTCGTATGTCCCCCCGCTTCGTGTTCCTGTGATTTGGTAGGGGGCTAAAGGTTTGTCGTGTGTCCCCTCCCTTCGTCCCTTCGTGTTGTAAGGGTTTTGGGAGGGTCCTGGAGGTTTGTCGTATGTCCCCTTTGTTCGTGCTTGTAGGGTCTGGGGAGTGTGTAGATGATAATCACATATCATGTGCTTCCGTGCTCGTATTATGAGGGGCTAGTGATTGGCCTGGAGGTTTGTCAGATGACGCCCCCGCTTCGTGATCCTGTGATTTGGTAGGGGCCTAAAGGTTTGTAGTGTGTCGCCTCCCTTCATTCCTTCCTATTGTAAGGGTTCTGTGAGGGCCCTGGAGGTTTGTCGTATGTCCCCTTTCTTCTTGCTTGTAGGGTTTGGGGAGCATCTAGATGATAGAGGTTTGTCGTATGTCGTCTCCCTTCGTCCCTTCGTGTTGTAAGGGTTTTGTGAGGGCCCTGAAGGTCTAGGGCAGTTACTAGCGCCTCATAGTACGAGCACGGAAGCAAATGATAATGACAATCATCTAGACGCTGCCCAAATCCTACAAGCACGAAGAAAGGGACATACGGCAAATTTGCAGGGCCCTCACAAAACCCTTACAACAAGAAGGGACGAAGGAAGGGCACATACGACAAACCTCTAGGACCCTCACGAAACCCTTACAACACGAAGGGACGAAGGGATTGTATCTAATTTCGTATATGGTAAAATGACATACGACAAATCTCCAGGACCCTAGCAAATCACATGAACACGAAGCAGGGAGACATAAAACAAACCTCTAGGGCAGTCACTAGCCCCTCATAATACGAGCACGGAAGCAAATCATATATGATAATCATCTAGACGCTCCCCACGCCCTACAAGCACGAAGAAAGGAGACATACGATAAATCTTCCAGGTCCAACAAAACCCTTGCAACTCAAAGGGACGAAGGGAGGGGGCACACGACAAACCTCTTTAGGCCCCTACCACATCGCAGGAACAGAAAGCGGCGGGACATACGACAAACCTCTATGACAAACACCAGCCCCTCATAATACGAGCACGGAAGCAAATGATATATGACAGTTTTCTAGAAGATCCCCAAACCCTCTAAGAAGAAAGAAAGGTGACATACGACAAACCCTCCCCCAACAAAGCAATTTCAACACGAAGGGACGAAAGGAGGGGACATTCGACAAATATCTGGCCCCTACCAAATCTCAGGAACACTAAGCGTGGGGACATACGACAAATCTCCAAGGGCCCTCAGAAAAATTTTATCAGCCTTACAACACGAAGGGACGAAGGCAGGGGACATACGACAAACCTGTAGATCACAGGAACAAGGAAGCGGGGGAGGGGGCATACGACAAACCCCTAGGGCAGTCACTAGCCCCTCACAATACGAGCACGGAATCAAATTATATGTCAGTCGTCTAGACGCTCCCCAAACCCTACAAGTGAGAAGAAAGGGGACACACGGCAATTTTGCAGGGCTCTCACAAAACCCTTGCAACACGAAAGGACGAAGCGAGGGAACGTATGACAAACCTCTAAGCCCCTACCAAATCACAGGACCAAGGAAACGGGGGGGACAAATGACAAACCTCTAGGACAGCCACTAGCCCCTCATAGTTTGAGCACGGAAGCAAATCATATATGACGATCATCTAGACTCTAGACGCTCCCCCAAACCCTACAAGCTCGAAGAAAGTGGATATACGACTAGCCTCCAGGGCCCTCACAAAACCCTTACCACCCATACAACGCGAAGGGACGAAGGAAGGGGACATACGACAAACCTCTAGGGCAGTCAGTAACCCCACATAGTACGAGCACGGAAGCAAATGATGTATGGTAATCATCTCGACGCTCCTCAAACTCTCCAAGCACGAAGAAAGGGGACACACGACAAACCTTCAAGGCCCAACAAAACCCCTACAACACGAAGGGGCGAAAGGAGGGGACATACGACAAAGCTCTAAGCCCCTACCAAATCTCAGGAACAGGAATCGGGGGGACATACGACAAACCTCTAGGGCAATCACTAGCCCCTCACAATACGAGCACGGAATCAAATTATATGTCAGTCGTCTAGACGCTCCCCAAACCCTACAAGTGAGAAGAAAGGGGACACACGGCAAATTTGCAGGGCTCTCACAAAACCCTTGCAACACGAAAGGACGAAGCGAGGGAACGTATGACAAACCTCTAAGCCCCTACCAAATCACAGGACCAAGGAAACGGGGGGGACAAATGACAAACCTCTAGGACAGCCACTAGCCCCTCATAGTTTGAGCACGGAAGCAAATCATATATGACGATCATCTAGACTCTAGACGCTCCCCCCAAACCCTACAAGCTCGAAGAAAGTGGATATACGACTAGCCTCCAGGGCCCTCACAAAACCCTTACCACCCATACAACGCGAAGGGACGAAGGAAGGGGACAAAAGACAAACCTCTAGGGCAGTCACTAACCCCACATAGTACGAGCACGGAAGCAAATGATGTATGGTAATCATCTCGACACTCCTCAATTCTC